TTCAGCAGATGGTGTGATGGTGTAATGGTTTTATCACTGGCCAACTGTGGTTTGAGTCCTGGACCTGGTGGCTTCAAACTCATACTGGGCACATGTGTATGCATGCCCAAAGCAAAAATGGCTCTTAAAAAAAAAAAAAAAAACTAGAAATGTTTGAAAAATATAATGGTAATGCTGATTTCTAAGTTGTGCAATTGACTAATAATTAAACTTCAGAATCAGCTGTAGTCCTTTCTTCTTTTTCTCTCCCCTGGTGTCTTACGCCTTCAGTAAACAAAGTGTGATATGACCATGGATGATTGACCCAATTTTGGTTGTTTAGTGAGTTGTTCTGTTGCCTTGGCAACAAAAGACAATGTAAGGCAGGGAGCATTGCTATCTTGGTTGATGCTTTTCTGAAAGATGCTTTCTTAATATGCATTAACATTTCATAATTATTTAACATTAACACTCCATAATTATTTTGTGTGGCAGGCAGAGGAAGCACATATTTAGAAAAAAAATACAAGTCTGAGCAAATCAGGGTCAGGAGGTGGTGTGGTGGTGAAGGCACCATATTCTCACTGGTCAACTGAGGTTCAAATCCTGGACCCGATGGCTTGAAAATCACGCTGGATGTGTATGCATGAGTGCTCAAAATCCCAGATGGAGAATGGAGAAGAAGGGATTATGGCACGACCATACCCCCTGAGGGGGTGATTACTCACTTTGCTTTTTGTCTCTCTCTCTGTTTCTTTCCAGTGAGTACACATGCCCTATGGAGGAAAAAAAAAGAAGTATAAGACACTTTATCGTGGTCCTTAAGATGAAGGGACATTTCCCTTGGCTGTTTTTTTTTTTTTTTTTTTTGGGGGGAGAGATTTTCACTGTAGGGCACGTGCGCTCGCCAGACAGACAGAGAGAGACATAGAGACAGAAAGCAAGAAATCACCCCCCAGGGGGGATGGTCACGCCGCAATCCCTTCTCCTCCATTCTCCTCTCGGGATCTTGGGCACGCACGCACATGCGCCTGGCGTGAGTTTTAAGCCACCGGGTCCGGGACACGAACCGCGGTCGACTACGTGGGAGTCCAGCGACATAGCCATTACGCTAACTGCTGATTCCCTCCCTTGGCTGTTTTTGATGCCATCTCAGTTATATCTCAGGTTGGAGAATGGGTGAAGCTCAGGAATAGGGAAAGGTTTTTGTTCTACATGCTAAGAAAAATAGCTTTAAAAGCATAATTAAGTGCCCTTATGGTTAAATCAAAATATACTTACGTAATCAAATTTTTACATATACTATAATTTAGTGGATGTCTTTTTTTTTTTTTTTTTAAGATTTTTGCCTTAGGGCACGTGGACTTGTTGAACTGAGAGTCAGATCAAACATGAGAACTTACCTCCCAGGGGGTTGGCCATGCCGCTTTTCCTTCTCCTCCATTCCCATCCTGGGATTTGGGGCATGCATGCACAAGTGTCCAGTGTGATTTTCAAGCTGCCAGGTCTGAGACTTGAACCATTATCAACCATATTAGAGTCCAGAGCCTTAACCACTATACCACCTGATGACCCCCTGGGACTGTCTGTTGTATTGCCACTCATCTGGAAATGATATTTCCATTCTTCAAACTCGTTAGATTTTTCATTTTGGGAGTTTATTAGATGCTTAGCAAGGTTGTTTTTTAGGTTCTGTTTAATTTCTGCAATTCTCCCCACCATCACCCTGTTGTATGAGTATATTGACCACAAGGTTATGATTATTATTTGAATCCAGTTCCCATAGTTTTGTTTCTGTTGCCTTGTTTGGGGCACTGTGCATTTCCTTCTTGGTCAGTTGGGGCTAGCTGTATTTATGAATCCGCTGGCAGTGCCCCTCTGAGTGGGAGCTGCTGAGACTGGCAGGCTCTGACTAGCCTAGAACGTGGACTGTGGCCACAGTTCTCCATGGGACACCTGCCTACATGGTTCCCCAGGAGCAGGTAATTTCACAGGGCTGTGTGCAGGAGAGGGTTGGCTCAGTGGTAAATCTGGCCGTGTTTTCCATTTGAACATAACAGCTGTGCCTTAAAATAAAAGGCAGCATCTCCACAAATCCCCTTCCAGAATTGCTGGCTGTTTAAAGTTTGGCTTCCGGTGCATATGGATCTGGCTTCTTGCTTCCTAGAAGACACTTGTGTTGACTCGGATACCTTTTCCTTTCAGATGAGCCCACGCTGCGCTCACCTGGCTCTCAAGCACTACCTGCTCAAGCCGGTGCAGAGGATCCCCCAGTACAGGCTGCTGCTGACAGGTGGGCGTCCTGGGCAGTTTCCGGCCTCCAACTCCTTCTGCTCTTAGGAGGTTCGGCCTTTCCTAAGAATGCCTCTTTATATCACTTCAGTAATGCTTTTGCCTCATACACAGATTCCTCTCCCATATAAGAGGGGAGTTCAGAAAGTGTGTGGAAAAGGCTGGACGTATAGCACTGTAAAGGGATTTTCACATTACCAATTGCAGTTCAAATCCTATCCTCGGCAGCTTGAGAAACACACTGGGTACATGTGCGTGCATGTCCAAAATTCTGACGAGGAGGAATGGAGCTAAAAGGATTGTGTTGTGGCCACACCCCACTGAGGGTGTTTTCTCTCTCTTCCTTTCTCCCTCTCCCTGTGAAATGCGCTCTCTGACAATAAAAAAAGGGGGAGTGTGGCAACAGATTTCATGGCTGACTCTGGTTTGAGTCCTGGACACAGCAGCCTGAAAAACACACCAGGCATGTGTGTGTGTCTGCTCAAAATTCTAAGAGGAGGGGCCAGCAAGGTGGCATGGTGGTTAGGGGTGCTGGATTTCCACATGGCCAACCATGATTTGAGTCCCGGACCTGGTGACTTGCTTTCTCACTTTCCCTCTCTCTCTCTTGCTCCTGCTCTGTCCAAATTAAAATAAATAAATGAATAAATAAAGTTAAATGAAATAATTCTTTTTTTTCCTTTTTTTTGAGAGGTTTTTGCTATAGGGCACATGCACTCACCAGTCAGAGAGAGAGAGAAAGACAGAAAGCGTGAAATCACCCCCCCCCCCAGGGGAGATGGCCACACCACAGTCCCTTCTCCTCTCCTCTCCTCTCGGGATCTTGGGCACGCATGCACACATGCCAAGCATGTTGATCAAGCTGCTGGGTCTGGGACTTAAACCACGTGCTCAGCCGTGTGGAACCCGGCTGCCTTAACCACGGGTTACAAAGCTGGCCCAGCATCCGTGTACTTCTGTTATCATTTCGAGGTCATAATTGTCCTAGGTCTGTACTTCCTATTGTACTTTAGGTTTACAGAGCTATCTAGTGTTGCCAATAGTTTTTTGTTTTTGTTTTTATAAAGAAAAGGAAACTGTGATTTGAATGAAGATATGTGTTGTACTCAGGGCTTTATATTCACTGGCTCTTTAAATCCTCTCTGTAGCCTTTCAAATATCACAATAGTCTTCCTTTTTTATAATGTTTTTCCTTTTTTTTCAAGTTTGCTACAGGGTGCATGCAGTCTCTGGAGGTGGGAGTGATGGAGGAGTAAGAAAGCACCCCCCGTGGGGAATGGCCACACTGTAGTCCCTTCTACTGCATTCTCCTCTTTGGGTTTTTGGGCATACACATACACACAGCCAGCATGTTTTTTGTTTTTTGTTTTTTTGTGGTTTTTTTTAGAGGTTTTTTTTGCTATAGGGTACGCGCGCTCACCAGAAAGACAGAGAGACAGAGAGATAGAAAGCGAGAAATCACCCCCCGGGGGGATGGCCACGCCGCAATCCCTTCTCCTCCATTCTCCTCTCAGGACCTTGGGCACACACACACATGCACCTAGCGTGAGTTTAAGCCACCGGGTCCGAGACTCATACCGCGGTCAACTACATGGGAGTTCAGCAACATAGCCATTACTCTAACTGCTGGTCCCAGCATGTTTTTTCAAGCTGACAGATCTGGGTCTCAAACTGTGCTGTCAGCTATGTGGGATCTAGCTGCCATAACCACCATACTATTGACTGATCCAATCACAATATTCTTTTTTTATCTTTTCCATTTTTTTAGGTTTTTGCCATAGGGCATGTGAGCTCACTGGAGAGAGAGAGAGAAGGTGAGAAATCACCTCCTGGGGGAAAAGCCACATCCAGTCCCTTCTCCTCCATTCTCCTCTTCAGGTTTTAGACATATCCGCACATGCGCATGATTTTCAAGCTGCCAAGTCCAGGACTCAAACCTCTATTGACTGTGGGAATCCAACACCTTAACTACCACTCTACCTCCTTGTTCCCACAAATTTTCTTTTTTAGATGAGATTAAAAGCATGTAAAAATTAAATAGTTTTGCTTCACAAAAATGCTGCTTTAGTCTCAGTACCAAGCACATTATCCAGCACACACTATAGGTCCTGGAATATTTGCTGAAACGTATTGCATGTACAGTGACTGAATATGTACTTGCATTGAAAGTTGTCTTAGGGACCAGCAAATGGCCTCATGGTTACATTGCTGGACTCCTATACAGTAGACTGCGATTTGAGTCCTGAACTCAAGGCATAAAACTCACACCAGGCATGTTTGTGTGTGTGTTCTCAAAATTCTGAGAGAAGAATGAAGGAGAAGGGATTTGAATGTGGCCATCCCCCCTGGAATAGGGGGTGATTTCTCACTTTCTGTCTCTTTGTTTATCCAGCACCCTATAGCAAAAATCTCTCTTCTAAAAAAATAATGGATGAGGACATTGAAATGCCCCCATGACACTAAAGTCAATCTTTTGTATTTCATATAAATACATTTGTAGGTGCTCCTTTTGTATCACTGTCCTGAAGAAATGGCAGGGATGTTTTTCTCCTTAATCATTTTTTCTTCAAGAGCTCTTTGAAGATCGTAGGTAAACCCTGGAAAACCAGAATTTGCTCTTTTCTCTTTGTGTAAAGATTCTAGCCTTCTAAGCTCATCCAGTGGAAGACTGAGTGCTGGTAGGAAAGACTTGCCTTTCAGGCCTAGCACCTGCCTATCCTAGGTGTGTCAAGTACTTAATTTATTGTGAACCAGTCACTGTGATTCTCTCTGGAGTGACATAAGGCAAAACAAATAATTTGAGGATATCCTGTCCATCTGTCCTTTCTTTCCTCTGCTTTTGGCAGAGAAATAAGATACACAGGACAAAAGGAAGCATGATACGCATGTTGTATTTTTGCTAGATAGATTCAATTCTGTGTCATAAACAGCTCTTGAATGGCTTAGGCTATTTCCACAGTGGTCTAATGAAGTACTGTTTGTAGTAGCGAAAGACAAGTATGATTTTAAATGTGAGAAGAATAGAATAAGATTATGAAATGTTTAATGTAAAATGTTATTCCCCACACTGTGATTGATCTAAGTGGTGAAAAAACTACATGCACATTTAATTTGGGTTTCCTGATCAGTTTATCGATTGAGAAGTGGTGAGATAGCAAAAGCAGATTTTCGCTAAGAAAACAGATCTCAGGCCAAGCCTATGGTGAAGTGGTAAAAGGAGCCAGATCCTACACATCCAACCACAGTGTGAATCCCACTCCTCGGTGGCTTTGAAAAACACACCAGGCAAGTGAACATGTGTGCCCCAAATCCTGAAAGGATGAAAAAACTGAGGAAAAGGGATTATGGTTTAACTATGCCTCATTAGGGAGTTCTCTCTCTCTCTCTCTCTCTCTTCCCCTCTATACCTATCTAACTCTGCAAAGGTATGGGCCCTCTATCAATTGAGGGAAGGAAAAAAAACAAAACGATGATGTCATTTGTATTATAATAACAATGTCTGTGAGTTTTGAGTCATTTTGAGTTTTGAAGTGCCTCTTGTTTGATATGAAGCCAGTTTTGGGGCCAGCAGTTGGCATAATGACTATGTCGGTGGACTCCCATGTAGCCGACCGCGGTTCAAGTCCTGGACCCAGTGGTTTAAACTCACTGGGCGCGTGTGTGTCCATGCCCAAGATCCTGAGAGGAGAATGGAGAAGAGGGATTGCAGTGTGGCCACCCCTCCTGGAGGGTGATTTCTTGCTCTCTGTCTCTCTGTCTCTCTCTGTCTTTCTGGTGAGTGCACACGCCCTATAGCAACAACCTCTCAAAAAGAAAAATGTGAAACCAGTTTCCTTTTTTCTTTTTAAGAATTATTTATTTATTCAGTCTTAATTATTGTTATTATATTTTTACTTTGACCAGAGAGAGAGACAGAGAACAGAAAAGTGAGAAAGTAAGCTACCAGGTACAGGACTTGAACTGGGGCTAGCTATATGGGAGTCCAGCACCCCAACCACTACATCACCCTCATTCACTTTCTTTATTAAATTGGAACGTCTTCTCCATTATTTAATTGACACACAGGACCTCACACACAGCACTGGGGTTAGGTTGCTGGAGGGATAAAGGTGGTAAATGGCTTGCCTTGAAACCACAAAGTCAGGACCTAATAAAAGACCATAGACAATGCAAAGAAATAACATAGACTTCATGTTCTTTGTCCTCTGCTTTTTCTTCCATTGACAGAAATCCTCCTTTTCCTTCTAGCCTGGCCTGGAGTTCCTCTGTTTCTCTCTGAAGCCATTTCTGAGAACCCCAGTTCTTCGTGACCTCTAGTGTCAGTGTCCTGGGACTTAGCAAATACTTATGCAATGCCTTCTGAATTTGCTGATATTTACATAATTCAAAATACTGGATCTTTAATTTGGGTGTAGACTCCCTGAGATTAGGAGTTATATCTGTAACTTTGTGTCCCTAAAATATCTGGGCCTGTTTTATCTGGAAACTGTTCCAAATTATCTGGAAATAATTTGGGTGGGTTTTTGGCTAGGTTTAGAACTGCCCATGAGCCGTAAACTTTTACCCCAAAGAACAACACTGAGAAGTAGAAATTAAGATACCCAAGGTATGTGGAAATTATTTCTTCTTCTAAAATAGAAAGCACATTCTGGAATAGTGTGTTGTCCTGCCAAAGGCTGCCCCTTATAGTATTAATCGAAGCACCTAAGGTTGTATAACCTAGATATACAGGGTCAAACTAAGGTTTGGTTTATATTTTTATGTAAAATTCTGATTGTTTTCAATTCTCATTTTTGTGATGTTCCAATTGTTCTCTACTTTGCACAATATTTCTGTTGATATCAAAGTGCCCTTGTATGTGCACCTAGATTTTCAGAAGTTGGGTTTTAAGTTATTGGGTCGTCGGAAAAGTCTTGATGCATTTTTACGTAGAAAAATATGTCATGACTTTTTCAATGATCCAACATAAGTTGCATCTATTCAAACATGTTAATTCATTGG